TATTACTCGAAATTATTTACGTCAAAAGATAAATTATAATCACACAAAAAAATATATATAATTTTATAATAAAATACTATAGCACTAAAACACTAATAAAATACTAGAAAAATCCAAAAATCAACACAATGGGTGCGCTTGGCAGAAAAAAGCGCTAGCAAGCGCTTATAAGCGCTGAAATAGTTTTCGGCCAGGACACGATTGCTACTTCAGTAGCGCTGACACAATCCGCCATTTTGCTTATTTAATTTGTTTGTTTTGAAGTAGAGTTTATAAGTTGTTTTGTGCAATATTAGTTTTAAGTAATATAATGACATGAATAAACATATACATGTTATTAAAAATACATGATTGGTAAGTTTTTAATATGAATACTTTACAATAATTTACTCCGATGGTTTGGGCACGTTGAGCGAATGAGTGAAGACCGAATGTGAAGAAAATATATAGCGCGAAAGTACATATTAAAAGGTGTCGAGGTAGACCGAGACTAACTTTCGAAGACCATGTGAGCAAATTACTCGAAGAGGGGAAGGTCAAGAATACTCGGATACCTAGACGTGCATGTATGAAGAAGTTAATGAACATGAAAGAAGCGAAAGAGATATGTAAGGATCGTGACACTTGGCGATCCGTTCTCTCTGGCTACCCCGTTAGGGATTGTGCGTGAAGATAAGTTAAAATACTTTACAAACATATATTTAAATTAGGTTAGGTTCCCCGGTTAAAACTAACATCGTGTCCTGGAGGAAAATAGCTACTTACGATTTGACAGCGCTTACCGCTTACGATCGCCATTTTGCTTACAAGCGCTTGCTAGCGCTTTTTTCTGCCAAACACACCCAATAATATTCACGTGAAAATGGCGAACGAAATTAACGTAGATTATACATAATTATCCACAAGATAACTTGACTTTTTATTGCACTAGAAGATAAAAAAATCATATTGATTCTATAATGTCAAACTTCTTCAGTAGTCTCTAAATAAAAGATTTAATGTTTAAATTGCTGTGGGTGTGCGCGGTCGAATTCCGCTTCAATTTTGATGGAATAGCGCCGCGGTTGAATTCGACCGCTTGGGGGCTGAGGGGTGTTAAAAAACAAATGCATTAATCCTTCACTTCATTCACATGACATTCATACATTCACACACTCTCTTAAGGTTCAGGGATTAGCCTTTCTATATAAATATTGGTTTATTCATTTTGTGCTTGCGACGCTAACAAAACCGTTTTGGAAATAAATGGGAACATTCATTTGTACACACAAACAAACATACACCTTTTTCGTTCCATCGTGGGTAAAAAATACAACACAAAGTACTTAGAAAATATAGTTTAGAATTTTTGTTGATTCAAGACTCAGACTACACTGCTCAACTTTTTCGCTTACGCACACTTATTTCTTCTTTGTTTTTTTTTCTTAAACAGCCCGTTAAAGCTTACATTTGTATACACATATGTTCTTAAAACCAAAGATTTTAAATCTTTGCCTAAAACCATGCTTTTTTGTTAAGAGTAAGTGTGTGCGTGTTCTCACAATAATATGTGCATGATTTCGGCATCACTTGAAATGTATATATGTATGTAATTTTTCTTTGTGGATCTGAGATCCAAAATCGTTTTTTTTTTCAAATAGCTTTACAGCACTGATTATTATAAATTTGAAAAGTTAGAAGTGTGTGTTTTATTTTAATATATTGGTAGGAATGACCGGTATCGCCTCGCTTGGCAGGCGAATTAACAAATCTTCCGCACCTTTGATACTGTTTCCCGACACCAGTTTGGGTACACTATATCTAGTGACAATACTAGAAGATCATACCGCCATCTTTTTTAGGGTTCCATAGTCATCTAGGAACCCTTAAAGTTTCGCCATGTCTGTCTGTTCGTCTGTCCGTCCTCGCTTAATCTCTGTGACCGTTAGCACTAGAAAGCTGAAATTTAGTACCAATATGTGTATCAATCACGCCGACAAAGTGGTAAAATAAAAATTGGAAAAAAAATATTTTATTAGGGTAGCCCCCCTATATGTAAAGTGAGAAGTGATTTTTTTTAATTTCAACCCTAACGTGTGATATATTGTTGGAAATGTATTTAAAAATGAATAGGGGTTTACTAAAATCATTTTTTGATAATGTCAATAATTTCGGAAATAATCGCTCCAAAAGTAAAAAACAATGTGTCCCCCCCCCCCCTCTAACTTTTTAACCATAAGATTCAAACTACTTTTACGGATTTTATCGCGTTTATTTTTACTTTTAATTACTTTTATTTTTAATTCCCGACGTTTCGGGCGCTTTCCAGCACCCATGGTCACGGGGGACTGAGATGACTGACGTCCCGATGTCAAATTAAATCTTCCCAAAAATGAATTTAACGCGTTGAAAAACTTACGCAGCATACCAGAGCTTACGATTCTCCGCGCAGATAAAGGTAATTCTACGGTTATAATGGATACGTCAGTTTACAATTTTAAAATACGACAACTTTTGTCGGATGAAACTACTTATCGAAAGGTCAAAACAGACCCTACAACTAATACGCTTAAAACAACTAGCGATCTAATTAAGAAATACTCCGAAAAATTGAATCTGGACGTTAATTCGATAATACCTTCATGTGCCAAACCAGCGAAGTTGTATGGGTTACCAAAGATACACAAACCGAATGCTCCATTACGTCCAATAGTGAGTCAGATTGATTCGCCAACTTACAGATTGGCCCAATACTTAGCTAAAATATTATCACCACTCAGAGGACACACAAGAGCACACACTAAGGATTCATACCATTTTGTCAGTGAGATAAAAGACTTACTGACAAAGAAACCATGGTCAGTTTTGATGTTCAGTCTCTATTTACATGCCTACCTGTTGAAGACTGCATCTCAATTATAACTAGGAAACTAGAGGAAAATAACATGCCAGCAGAATATGCAGTATTACTAAGACATTGTCTTACATCTGGCTATCTATTATGGAAGGAAGAGTTTTACAAGCAAGTAGATGGTGTTGCGATGGGATCACCTGTATCTTCCATTGTCGCCGATATATTCATGGAAGACTTTGAGGAGAAAGCCCTCCTTACTGCACCTGTTACACCAAGGATCTACAAGCGGTACGTAGACGATACTTTCACAATTTTACCATCAGACAAAGTAATTGCATTTTTATAACATCTTAATTCCATAAACCCTAAAATTCAATTTACTATGGAGTTAGAAGCAAATAATTCCTTACATTTCCTAGATGTGTTAGTCATCCGAAATCCTAATAACACCATTGGTCACACTGTGTATAGGAAAAAGACCCATACAAACCGATATTTAAACGGGGAATCTCACCACCATCCTTCACAGTTAGCTACCGTGGGCAAATCTTTGTTACAGAGAGCACGAGGGATCTGTGACAGCAAACACCTGGCCGCCGAGCTTCGGCACGTCAAGCAAGTTCTGCTCGACAACAAGCTTCGGGTCCCGTGCCTACGTCACAGTGACCGAGTGAAGCCGGCCACAGTCGAGCGTGTGCCTGCTGTACTACCATATGTCAGAGGTGTCACAGACAAGATTGGCTATATCTTGAAGCGAGCTTCTATTAGAACATTCTACAAGCCGCCGAAGAAGATTAGTCAGTTCCTACCATCCGTCAAGTGTCATATTCCTCTACAAGATGCAGGAGTGTACAAGCTTGATTGCGAATGTGGTCTCTCTTATATAGGACAAACAAAAAGATCAATTAGGACCCGCGTAAAAGAACATATAGCTGATGTGAAGCATCAACGTTCAGGGAAGTCTGCAGTTTGTGATCATATCCTAGACGGCCCCAACCATTACATTAGATATGATAGACCACAAATCCTCGCGAAAGAACACCGATTCCTACCAAGGATGATTCGTGAGGCTATTGAAATTAAAAAATATCCTAATTTCAATAGAGAAGGAGGCTGGGTACTACCACCTGCTTGGGATCCTATAATCAATAAAATTAAAACTAAACCCAAGCATACCACTGCATGACCTCAGGACATAGTCAGTTCATTTTGCATAGATCGGACCATAAACAATAATTAAAAAAGCTGAAGGTACTCCGGGTTTAACAATGACATCGGGACGTCAGTCATCTCAGTCTCCCCGTGACCACGGGTGCTGGAAAGCGCCCGAAACGTCGGAAATTAAAAATAAAAGTAATTAAAAGTAAAAATAAACGCGATAAAATCCGTAAAAGTAGTTTGAATCATGTGTAGTGTTCGCGTAAATATAAGAAATCATTTTGAACCATAAGCTTAAAAAATACGAAAAAAAAATCTGAAAAGTAGAACTTTATAAGGACTTTCTAGGAAAATCATTTTGAACTTGGATGGAAACAACAGTACCCACTACCGGGAGTAGTTGAGGGAGCGCGGAGCGCTGCTGGAGCGCGAACATAATGGAACATCCTCATAAGTGGGAACACTTATTGTGACTTACGGAAAATTACGGAACCCTACACTGAGCGTGGCCCGACACGCTCTTCGCCGGTTTTGTATTAAATAATAAGGAGGAAACGAGCAATTGGATCTTTGACGATAGGGGATAACTACCACCCCTGAATACCGCACTATTTAAGGACCACCAGAAATCCTTTTCACTGGAAACGAGGCATTCCATCGTAGTCCTCAAGGGTGATTCCAAATCGAAGATTGATGTAGATATCTATGAACATCTGCAACCACTTACCATCAAGCGTACTGTATGATCGTTTGTTACTTAAAAAAAAACACTTCTTGAAACATTCACAATGGTACTAGCGGGGATCGAATTCAGGTTTTTCTTACTATGAAATTCAAATCAAGAGCGCAGCCCCCGTATACGTTGATAGCATTAGCAGTATCATATGTCCATGAAAATAGTTGGAAATTATTAAAAAAACACTTAAGATGCTACAAAAATTTAATCCCATTTTAAAATATTACAATTAACAGTTTCAGTACAATATTTCTTGGGCAGTCATGTAAAAATTCATTGATATGGTTGAGGTTTCTCCTTTGCTGTAATAAAAATTGTATTAATAATAAAAAAATAACGACGGCAACGTACAGATATTGCTAATCTAGGATTAGACTAAACTTATGCGGTAAAATGCAAAAAACAAAAATATTAAACTTTACTAATCCTGTGTATTTTTGGATTAAATTTGTATATAATTTCTATAAGAGCTGATTTTTCGATCGATAAAAGTTATTCATGATATAATATATAACGTAAACAATTTAAAAAAGTGGCTTGTATAAATGAAACTTAAAGCTGATGTGAACCACCGACGCTCCGGGAAGTCTGCAGTACGTCAACATGTTTAGGATCGGCCCAACTATTACATCGGATTTGATTACTACCAAGCATGATTTGCGAGACTATTTAAATTAAAAAAAAATCTTTATTTTAATAGAGATGGCTAGGTGCTACCATCTGCTAGAGATTACAAAACATCCAAATCCAAGTATACTACGACAAGACATTAAGTTATATTAAGGTACAGTTTAGGTGACAAATGAATACACAGTACAACTGATGATAAGTGGATGCTGTGGCTCATAGACTTCTACATCTACCCTTGATTACAAATCAAAATGCAGATGTGTTGCTACACCAGAGGACTAAGATGGAAAGCCTCGTTTCCAATAAAAAGGGTCTCCGGTTCTCTACGAAACGAAACACACGCATTGAGATGCAATTTTACTCTGGTATTCTGTGAGAGTACTGTCCTTACACGGTCGCGCCAACTCATTCGAGTTACAGCCATAACATAACTCCACGAAAAGGCTCCTTATTTATCATATGCTGTGCAGATCTGATGTGAAGAAAACATCGTGAAGAGCCTGCATTATGTTTCAATATTTCGAGGACATATGGTTTTCTGTAAGATAGTGGTCCCTCCCCGACTGAGACAACCCATTTGTGTTGCAATTATAATATAGCTCTGTGTTAGGCTCCTAATGTATCAGACGCTGTGAAGATCTGATGTGGAGAAAACATCGTGAGAAACCTGCATGGCATTTCAATATTCAATATTCGAGGACACATGAAAACTGCCAACACGAATTGGAGAAGCCTGCCTTAGTAATTGCTCCAAAGCCCTCTTTGGAAGAGGCCTATGCCTAAACAGTAGACTAAGTGACTTTAATTAACCATTGAATGGGTACTGTAATAACTGCATATAAACAATCACATTAGTTCTCGCGATGCAATAATGTATGAGTTCATAAAGCATTTACTTACGGCATTGTTCAACTGGAACGCAAATGTTATTTTTATCCCGAAAAGTGTTTGGCTTGCAAATACACCTTGGTTGGCAGTTTAAAACAAGTGTATTGCACACAGATGGCTCTTCATAAGCATTTTCGCAGCCTTCCCTCAAGCAGGCCGATGGACAATTACTCCAAATTTCATTGGGTAGTGTACAATTAACTGGTGCTAAATAAAAAGTGAATTTTGAAAATTCTTCAACGCAAATTAAATAAACCATTGCATATAAAATAAGGCATCCGAAATGAGCATGTGTGTTGCAAAGCAAAAATTGTTTATTCAAACGCAAAGGACTCAGTTCAGCTAAGTTTGCACTTGGTGTGAATGACGTAACCACAAAAATAATCCAAAAACTAAAATATAGGAAAATAAAATTAAGACATGCGTATCGGTAACAAAGACGCAAAGCGTACAGACGCGACTGTATAAATAGGGGTTGTGAGCGAGGAAACGGAGAGGTCTCGCATTTCATCATTATTATTTAGGTCTTTTTTTTTCAATAATCAATGATTATATAAAAGTTATAATTTAATTAAATTATAACCTGACTAAATATAAAAGGTTATTTTAAATTTTTTGAGTTATATTTGATCATGACTGCAAGTCATTCCTGTATTAATGAAATTTATTTAACTTACGACACTCAGATGCCAGGATACACTTTTCGTCATTTATACTCTTTTTTCTGTAGTTAAATTTACAAACGCATCCGGAGGGACAAGGCGATGGCGGTTCACAACTAAAATCAGGTGGAGAATCATCCACTGGGCAGTAGTTGTTAGAACATCTGTTGTCACAAGTTCGAAATGTCGCATTCATACCACATGGATTGCCACCTAAAATTAAGACATAAAATGGAACCTCAATATTTTGAAAGGGAGAATATAATCACTAAAGATATAGAATTGAGATTCTAAAATAGCTATCCAGTGTATGAGGCTTTGATCACGTGAAATTAATTTAGGAAGGGTGTAAAAAAAACCTAGGGCCCTTTCTACAGAATAAGAACATAATTGATAGAATCAGGCGTTACTTTGCAAAATCCATTATAATAAAGATATTAATAGTTACTTAGCAACCATCAGCTCAATTAAATAAAATGATATGTGTTACCTAGTTTGAAGAGCACCTCCCGCACTCCCTTAGTATCGTGCACTAATCCCGTCTCCACTAATCCCAGCACCACTTCTCCCAATACCACTACTACCAACACCACTGCGATATGAGTTCTCGTTTCCGAATCAGCACTCGCATTTTACGGACCACTAGACCAATGAGACAGTGACAATATGCGACATATTAGTACGTTTAATTATGGTAATTTTATTAATAAAAAATAAGTTATTAACGAAAGAAGACAAAAAATTAAAATAACAGAGAGGCAGGAACAAGTTCCCACAGTTTTTTATAGAATAAGGATGTCAAAAAAAGCAAGCAGTCCACCTGATGGTAATGGTATTGGATGGTAGTGAATGTTGTGGACGAAGTACATCTACATTTACTTTTAATTAAGAATCAAAATACAGATGCATTGGTACTCTTAAGGATTAAAATGGAATGCCTCGTTTCGAGTAAAAAGGGTCTCCGGTTCTTTACACTCACCATAAGAAACACAACATATTTTACGCAGGTATTCTCTGAGAGCATTGTCCTAACTCAATCGAGCTTACCCATTCCTACTTTACTGGCATGATCAATTACTGTAGTGAATCATTTACTGTAGTTCAGCCACTAATTCATATTTTAATTAATATACTTAATGTTCAAAAATTACCTTATTCGAGTCCTTTTACGTGTGTATAGATAATAAAAACAAAAATATCGAACCTGGACAATCATCTGGATTGATACATTTTCCATTCAATTTGGACAGTATCATTCCATCATTGCACGAACAACCAACATCTAAACATGCTTTTTTGCAAGTCACTTTATTTGGAGACTGGCAGGTGGAAGGGCATGCGGGAGGACACTTAGTAATGTGCGCGTTATTATCTCCATTGCACCCCTTTTGTTCTGAAATAAAAATGAATAAATAAATGGAGCGGAAATATAAAAAGGTTAAAGAGAAAAGAAAAAATTATTTTAAATTTAAAGTATTTTATTTTAAAAACAATATTATTTCAATTAAAAATTTTATTATTTTAAAAAAAATGGTATCAATCATGAAATAATATTCTACTTCAATACTGCCAGAGGCCCCGCAGCGATTGCCGCATTGATGAGAAATTGACGACGTATCTGGCTATCATTGCCATGTAAATATTCAGTTGCATTAACAGGTATAGGATTTATGGAATGAAAATAAAATTTAGCTACTTACGCGGACAATCTTCAATTCTTACACACGTGAAAGGTGGACCTTTTTCCAACAGAATAAACCCTGGCTTGCATTTACATCCTTTTACGTTCTCGGACACATTTGAATAAGCAGGACAGTTTGGGGGATTTGGTTCGGCACAAGTACGTCTACATTTATATGGGATTTCGCATATCATTGATGGAACTATAAGTTGAATAAAACTTCATTTTACATTTATAAACGTTGTTCTTTTTTTATAATAAGTAATGTAATTAAACTGTCGTGGTCGCTTCTCGTCTTTATTATTTTTTATTAAATTTGAAATATAGGCAATATATTGAAAATTTGACAGCTTCTTAAATTTCTCAAAAATTTCAATCGCATTTTGTCGTATACAGGCTGCTACTTTACTCTTATTATAGGTATTTATCAAAAAATATTATTTAATAATTTCATATAGGTAAATAAAAATCGTTTTCATATTAATTAATAAAATACTGCTTATCAACATGAATCTCGTGTAGTAGAACATATTTGATAAACTAATTGAACAAAATTATTTACCACACTTATTACTCTTCGGACATTGTTCTTTCGGAACACATTTTCCCGTGGCATCCCTGCAGTAATCCTTAATGCAATTACAACCAGGTTGGCAAGGGCTCGGCTTACACGCTTCTTTCGTAGGATCGAAGTTGCAAGTATCTGGAGGACACGTCTTTCTGCAGTTACTTCCAACTTCATTTTCTCCGCAGATGGGTATTTGAGGCGCTATAAAAATAAAGCATTTATTTTATTTTATTTGATAGAGTTGAAAATGTTATAATAATAATGTCCTTCAGGTCGAATTTCGACCACGGCCGCTTGCCTCAACGGAGACTAGCCATCGGCACAGGACAGGATTATAGTGTCCAATTGTATAAGCAAACACAGGTGCACTCTCTTTTCCCTCACTCTAATCCGATGAGACGGTAAACCGACACTACATAGATCAGGACAACAGGACCAACGGTTTTACTTGCTTTCTGAGGCACGGGGTGAAACACCGCCAACTTCCGGACTCCGGGCATCTACTGAGAATTTGTTGACGCAAAAACTCACTAATTGATTTTTTGCCCCAACCCGGGATTCGAACCCAGGACTTCATGATCATCAGTCACACTAATACAACAACTAGAACAACGAGGCAGTCTGAAATTATAAGAGCAATTCTACGGTAAAATGTTGACGTTTTTGTTTCCATTATTTTAGACTTCACTACCTTACCAGCTCATATGCGTGAAATAAATGGAACTAATTGTTCGGTTTTTATCGCGTTAACTTTAACTTATTTTAATAACTTGGAGATTTTGCGGGCACTCTAAGTTCAAGGACCCATAGATCACGAGGGATAGTGAAATTAATTTTATTCAATGTGATGTATTCCCGTATCTTAAAAAATAATTGTATCGTTAGAAATATTCCTGATCAGCCCATAAAGCGGGACTGGAAATAGCACTCTTCCTTAGGATATAATATCCCTTGCTGATCATAGGCCTCTCCATAGATTATCTTAAAATCACCGCCATTTTACCATAACTACCACGCTTAGCTGGCGGGTTGTATATTAAGTTGTTAACAGGTTGATACTGCTTAGCATCTCCTCTTACAGTTTTGTCTCATAGTTTCGTCACAGTTACTGTCTCGTCACTCACTACGCTGAAATTCTGTGAGATTGTGTGCTTGTGCGGTAGAGGTCATTTGATATGAAAACTGAAAGATCGTCATTAAAGTAAAATTTAATTAAATTACCATGAACTATTTTTCTGAACGCATTTTCACAAATAAGCAAATAATGGTGAATTGTAGTTACAATATATACGTAGTATATACATACTTATATACATATAAATAAAATTGAAGTGTCTGGCTGTAGTGTTGAAATAACCGGTTCTATTGAGCTTAGGACGATAGTTGCATGTTATTTGGACATAACCAAACGTTATAAAAAAAACTAGCATCCTGTCAGTATGTCTCTCTATTTGTCTCTTTTTATATCTGTCAGCCTGTATATCTCTCTGCCTGTCTGCCTTTTTTTGAATAGAGTATTATTACAGACTAAGAAACAGCGCATCTGATGGTATATGATGCTGGAGCCTATAGCTGGTGCCTATAGCCTTTATCCTTGTTTAAAAATTCAAAATGCAGAAGCGTTATCACCCCTGAGGACTAAAATGGAATGCCTCATATCTAGTAAAAAGAGTATCCGGTTCTCTCCACACACCACACGAAACGCAGCAGCATTAAGCTGCTGTTTTACCCTGGGTTTCTCTTAGATAGTGGTCCCTTCCCGACTGAGCCAACCCATTCGTGCTGCAGTCATAATTAACTCTGTGTGAGGCTCCTAATGTATCAGATGCTGTGAAGATCTGATGTGAAGAAAACCTCGTGAGGAGCCAGCATTACGTTTTGATAATTAATATTCGAGCACATAAGAGAACTGTCAACACGAATTTGGGAAGCCTGCCAGAGTATTTACTCCAAAGCCCTACAGTAGACTAAGTGACTTTAATTTACCATTGAATGGATACTGTACTAAATGCATATTAAACAATCACATTAGTACCGGCGATGCGCTAATGTATGAGTTCATAAAGCATTTACTTACGGCATTGTTCAACTGGAACGCAAATGTTATTTTTATCCCGAAAAGTATTTGGCTTGCAAATACACCTTGGTTGGCAGTTTAAAACAAGTGTATTGCACACAGATGGCTCTTCATAAGCATTTTCGCAGCCTTCCCTCAAGCAGGCCAATGGACAATTACTCCAAATTTCATTGGGTAGTGTACAATTAACTGGTGCTAAATAAAAAGTGAATTTTGAAAATTCTTCAACGCAAATTAAATAAACCATTGCATATAAAATAAGGCATCCGAAATGAGCATGTGTGTTGCAAAGCAAAAAATATTTATTCAAACGCAAAGGACTCAGTTCAGCTAAGTTTGCACTTGGTGCGAATGACGTAACCACAAAAATAATCCAAAAACTAAAATATAGGAAAATAAAATTAAGACATGCGTATCGGTAACAAAGACGCAAAGCGTACAGACGCGACTGTATAAATAGGGGTTGTGAGCGAGGAAACGGAGGATATTGCTCCTCTGCTGTACATCCTGTTCACCAACGACATTCCCATCCCGTCGAAAGGTGTTCAGCTCTCCCTCTTTGCAGACGATACTGCTATCTACTGCAAAAGTGTCTCACTACCCTTCATACGGAACAAGATCCAAAAGTCAGTTGATGACCTAGGAGCTTGGTTCAAAAAATGGCGCATCGATGTGAACTCGGAGAAGAGCTCCGCCGTTCACTTCGATTATAAACGACGCCGTCTTAAAAACACCCCACCAATACGTATGCTAGGGACCCCTGTCCCCTGGCATACGGCCGCCAAATATTTAGGTGTCACTCTAGACACAGGGCTCACTTTCAGGCCCCACGTCAAAAGAGTAACCCGTCACGCACGGTTCTATCTGAGTAGGCTCTACTGTATGTTGGGCCGACACAGTAAAATGTCCCTTAGAAACAAGCGTACCCTTTATAAGGTCTGCATACGACCAGTCATGTCATACGAGGGCCCCGTTTTTGCCCACACGAACCCTAAAATCATTAATGAACTCCAAATAGTTCAAAACCTTTTCTGTCGTCGAGCTGCGAACGCACCTTGGTACGTCCGTAATGCTGACCTTCATCGGGACCTAGAGCTCCCCACAATCCAACAATTTCTCCAAAAACTCTCTGAGAACTTCTTCAAAGCCTCAGAGTCGCACTCAAATCATTTAATTCGTGAGGCAGCTACTTATGCAGCCCCACCCCCCCTCTCGCTATCGAGTCCTCAGGCCGAGAAACTCTCTCTCGGACCCGCCTAATAAACTAACTAACGATCTGAACTGCCTCCTGGCGGCTCAGGCCAACTCTAATTAAATTAAATTATTATATTAACTAATATTAATTTGCCTTCGTAGGCACTCCCTCAGCGGCTCGTAGACGCCTGCGCCTCTTTTCCCAAAAGAGGGTCGCTCACGATAAGGCACAATACAGCTTCATCAGCCGGTTGCCTGTCCCCAAAGGCGGTTTTTAGAGGGTATCACTTATGGTCCCCGGTAGGACAGTGAGCCCCTCATAACCACGATAGACCGGCTATCGTGGTATGCGTAATGCATTTTCCGCCTCCCTACGTATAGGGTAGCCCTTAATTGCTTCGGGCGCAAAAAAAAAAAGAAACGGAGGGGTCTCGCATAGCAGTGAGGTGCAAACTTCGCTCAACTGGGTTGTGCGTAAGCTTATCAAGCTTAAAATAAATATATTAAAGGTATACGAAATATTTTTGTGATTGTATCGACAAACACTAAACAGAAAACTAAAAATAAGATAAAACACTATTTTTTATTATTTAGCTCATTTTATTTCAATAATCAATCATTATATAAAAATTACCATTTAATTAAAGTATAACCTGACTAAATATATATAACTGTTATTTTTAATTTTTTGAGTTATATTTCATAATGACTGAAAGTCATTCCTGTATTAATGAATTTTATTTTACTTACGACACTCAGATGCCAGGATACACTTTTCGTCATTTATACTCTTTTTTCTGTAGTTAAATTTACAAACGCATCCGGAGGGACAAGGCGATGGCGGCATACAACTAAAATCAGGTGGAGAATCATCCACTGGGCAGTAGTTGTAAGAACATCTGTTGTTACACGTTTGAAATGTCGCATTCATGCCACATGGATTGCCACCTAAAATTTAAGACATAAAATGGAACCTCAATATTTTGAAAGGGATAATATAATCACTAAAGATTGAGATTATAAAATAGCTATCTAGTGTATGAGGCTTTGCTCACGTGAAATTATTTCAGGAAGGGTGTAAAAAAAACCTAGGGCCCTTTCTACAGAATAAGAACATAATTGACAGAATCAGGCGTTACTTTGCGGAAATCCATTATAATAAAGATATTAATAGTTACTTAGCAACCATCAGCTCAATTAAATAAAATGATATGTCTTACCTAGTCTGAAGAGCACCTCCCGCCCTTCGTTAGTTGCGTGCACTAATCCCGTCTCCACTGATCCCAGCACCACTACTCCCAATACCACTACTACCAACACCACTGTGACATAAGTTCTCGTTTCCGAATCTGCACTCGTATTTTACTGACTACTAGACCAATGAGACAGTGACAATATGCGACATATTAGTACGTTTAATTATGGTAATTTTATTAATAAAAAATAAGTTGTTAACGAAAAAAGGCAAAAAATAGAAATAACAGAGAGGCAGGAACAAGTTCCCACAGTTTTTTATAGAATAAGGATGTCAAAAAAAGCAAGCAGTCCACCTGATGGTAATGGTATTAGATGGTAGTGGATGTTGTGGACGAAGTACATCTACATTTACTTTTAATTAAGAATCAAAATACAGATGCATGTACTCTTAAGGATTAAGATGGAATGCCTCGTTTCGAGTAAAAAGGGTCTCCGGTTCTTTATACTCACCATAAGAAACACAACATATTTTACGCAGGTATTCTCTGAGAGCATTGTCCTAACTCAATCGAGCTGACCCATTCCTACTTTACTGGCATGATCAATTACTGTAGTGAATCATTTATTGTAGTTCAGCCACTAATTCATATTTTAATTAATATACTTAATGTTCAAAAATTAACTTATTCGAGTCCTTTTACGTGTGTATAGATAATAAAAACAAAAATATCGAACCTGGACAATCATCTGGATTGATACATTTTCCATTCAATTTGGACAGTATCATTCCATCATTGCACGAACAACCAACATCTAAACATGCTTTTTTGCAAGTCACTTGATTTGGAGACTGGCAGGTGGAAGGGCATGGGGGAGGACACTTAGTAATGTGCGCGTTATTATCTCCATTGCACCCCTTTTGTTCTGAAATAAAAATGAATAAATAAATGGAGCGGAAATATAAAAAAGGTTAAAGAGAAAAGAAAAAATTATTTTAAATTTAAAGTATTTTATTTTAAAAACAATATTATTTCAATTAAAAATTTTATTATTTTAAGAAAAAAAAATGGTATCAAACATGAAATAATATTCTACTTCAATACTGCCAGAGGCCCCGCAGCGATTGCCGCATTGATGAGAATTTGACGACGTATCTGGCTATCATTGCCATGTAAATATTCAGTTGCATTAACAGGTATAGGATTTATGGAATGAAAATAAAATTTAGCTACTTACGCGGACAATCTTCAATTCTTACACACTTGAAAGGTGGACCTTTTTCCAACAGAATAAACCCTGGCTTGCATTTACATCCTTTTACGTTCTCGGACACATTTGAATAAGCAGGACAGTTTGGGGGATTTGGTTCGGCACAAGTACGTCTACATTTATATGGAATTTCGCATATCATTGATGGAACTATAAGTTGAATAAAATTTCATTTTACATTTATAAACGTTGTTCTTTTTTTATAATAAGTAATGTAATTATACTGTCGTGGTCGCTTCTCGTCTTTATTATTTTTTATTAAATTTGAAATATAGGCAATATATTGGAAATTTGACAGCTTCTTAAAATTTCTCAAAAATTTCAATCGCATTTTGTCGTATATAGGCTGCTACTTTACTCTTATTATAGGTATTTATCAAAAAATATTATTTAATAATTTCATATAGGTAAATAAAAATCGTTTTCATATTAATTAATAAAATACTGCTTATCAACATGAATCTCGTGTAGTAGAACATATTTGATAAACTAATTGAACAAAATTATTTACCACACTTATTACTCTTCGGACATTGTTCTTTCGGAACACATTTTCCCGTGGCATCCCTGCAGTAATCCTTAATGCAATTACAACCAGGTTGGCAAGGGCCCGGTTTACACGCTTCTTTCGTAGGATCGAAGTTGCAAGTGTCTGGAGGACACGTCTTTCTGCAGTTACTTCCAACTTCATTTTCTCCGCAGATGGGTATTTGAGGCGCTATAAAAATAAAGCATTTATTTTATTTTATTTGATAGAGTTGAAAATATTATAATAATAATGTCCTTCAGGTCGAATTTCGGCCACGGCCGCTTGCCTCAACGGAGACTAGCCATCGGCACAGGACAGGATTATAGTGTCCAATTGTATAAGCAAACACAGGTGCACTCTCTTTTCCCTCACTCTAATCCGATGAGACGGTAAACCGACACTACCGGAAATAGATCAGGCGCAGGACCAACGGCTTTGCTTGCTTTCTGAGGCACGGGGTGAAACACCGCCAACTTCCGGACTCCGGGCAGCTACTGAGAATTTGTTGACGCAAAAACTCACTAATTGATTTTTTGTCCCAACCCGGGATTCGAACCCGGGACTTCATGATCAGCAGTCACACTAATACAACAACTAGAACAACGAGGCAGTCTGAAATTATAAGAGCAATTCTACGGTAAAATGTTGACGTTTTTGTTTCCATTATTTTAGACTTCACTACCTTACCAGCTCATATAAAGTTAGTAAAGTAAAGTTACAGCCTATATACGTCCCACTGCTGGGCTCAGGCCTCCCCTCATTTCTGAGAGGGTTTAGGGCAAGGAAGTGTCCGCCGCGCTGCCCAAATGCGTGTTGACGAACTTCACATGTTGTCTTCGAAATATTTTTTTTCTTATTCCTCAGACATGCAGGTTTCCTCACGATGTTTTCCTTCACCGCCGAGCACGTGGTAAATCAACACTTAAAATTGCAATTAACAATTTCATTGGTGCCGGCGGGGATCGAACCCGGGTTACTCGCGTTCTGTTATATTTACAGCGAGCGTTAACCACTGAGCTACCACGGCTCAGCCAGCTCATATGCGTGAAATAAATGGAACTAATTGTTCGGTTTTTATCGCGTTAACTTTAACTTATTTCAATAACTTCGGGATTTTGCGGGCACTCTAAGTTCAAGGACCCATAGATCACGAGGGATGGTAAAATTAATTTTATTCAATGTGATGTATTCGCGTATTTAAAAAAAAATTGTATCGTTAGAAATATTCCTCATCAGCCCATAAAGCGGGACTGGAAATAGCACTCTTCCTAAGGATATTATATCCCTCGCTGATCATAGGCCTCTCCATAGATTATCTTAAAATCACCGCCATTTTACCATAACTACCACGCTTAGCTGGCGGGTTGTATTTTAAGTTGTCAACAGATTGATACTGCTTAGCATCTCCTCTTACAGTTTTGTCTCATAGTTTCGTCACAGTTACTGTCTCGTCACTCACTACGCTGAAATTCTGTGAGATTGTGTGCTTGTGCGGTAGAGGTCATTTGATATGAAAACTGAAAGATCGTCAGTCATTAAAGTAAAATTTAATTAAATTACCATGAACTATTTTTCTGAACGCATTTTCACAAATAATAGTAAATTGTAGTTACAATATATACATAGTATATACATACTTATATACATATAAATAAAATTTAAGAGTCTGGCTGTAGTGTTGAAATAACCGGTTCTATTGAGCTTAGGACGATATTTGCATGTTATTTGGACATAACCAAACGTTATAAAAAAAACTAGCATCCTGTCTGTATGTCTCTCTATTTGTCTCTTTTTATATCTGTCAGCCTGTATATCTCTCTGCCTGTCTGCCTTTTTTTAAATAGAGTATTATTACAGACTAAGAAACAGCGCATCTGATGGTATATGATGCTGGAACCTATAGCTGGAGCCTATAGCCTTTATCCTTGTTTAAAAATTCAAAATGCAGAAGCGTTATCACCCCTGAGGACTAAAATGGAATGCCTCATATCCAGTAAAAAGAGTATCCGGTTCTCTCCACACACCACACGAAACGCAGCAGCATTAAGCTGCTGTTTTACCCTGGGTTTCTCTAAGATAGTGGTCCCTTCCCGACTGAGCCAACCCATTCGTGCTGCAGTCATAATTAACTCTGTGTGAGGCTCCTAATGTATCAGATGCTGTGAAGATCTGATGTGGAGAAAACATCGTGAGAAACCTGCATGGCATTTCAATATTCAATATTCGAGGACACATGAAAACTGCCAACACGAATTGGAGAAGCCTGCCTTAGTAATTGCTCCAAAGCCCTCTTTGGAAGAGGCCTATGCCTAAACAGTAGACTAAGTGACTTTAATTTACCATTGAATGGATACTGTACTACATGCATATTAAACAATCACATTAGTACTGGCGATGCGCTAATGTATGAGTTCATAAAGCATTTACTTACGGCATTGTTCAACTGGAACGCAAATGTTATTTTTATCCCGAAAAGTGTTTGGCTTGCAAATACACCTTGGTTGGCAGTTTAAAACAAGTGTATTGCACACAGATGGCTCTTCATTAGCATTTTCGCAGCCTTCCCTCAAGCAGGCCGATGGACAATTACTCCAAATTTCATTGGGTCGTGTACAATTAACTGGTGCTAAATAAAAAGTGAATTTTGAAATTTCTTCAACGCAAATTAAATAAACCATTGCATATAAAATAAGGCACCCGAAATGAGCATGTGTGTTGCAAAGCAAAAAATATTTATTCAAACGCAAAGGATTCGGTTCAGCTAAGTTTGCACTTGGTGCGAATAACGTAACAACAAAAATAATCCACAAACCAAAAAATAGGAGAAGAAAATTAAGACATGCGTATCGGTAACAAAGACTCAAAGCGTACAGACGCGACTGTATAAATAGGGCTTGAGAGCGAGGAAACGGAGGATATTGCTCCTCTGCTGTACATCCTGTTCACCAACGACATTCCCATCCCGTCGAAAGGTGTTCAGCTCTCCCTCTTCGCAGACGACACTGCTATCTACTGCAAAAGTGTCTCACTACCCTTCATACGGAACAAGATCCAAAAGTCAGTTGATGACCTAGGAGCTTGGTTCAAAAAATGGCGCATCGATGTGAACTCGGAGAAGAGCTCCGCCGTTCACTTCGATTATAAACGACGCCGTCTTAAAAACACCCCACCAATACGTATGCTAGGGACCCCTGTCCCCTGGCATACGGCCGCCAAATATTTAGGTGTCACTCTAGACACAGGGCTCACTTTCAGGTCCCACGTCAAAAGAGTAACCCGTCACGCACGGTTCTATCTGAGTAGGCTCAACTGTATGTTGGGCCGACACAGTAAAATGTCCCTTAGAAACAAGCGTACCCTTTATAAGGTCTGCATACGACCAGTCATGTCATACGCGGGCCCCGTTTTTGCCCACGCCAACCCTAAAATCAGCCGTGTAGTGGCGGTTGAGAATATCCACTACCCCATATCTTCCCGTGGGTGTCGTAAAAGGCGACAGAGGGAGACAGGCAGGAGATGGGCAGCAGCATCTTCCTGATAACAACTGTGACGTAATAAAAAACTGCGGTTGCCAACCCGCTCGCCAAGCGTGGCAACTATGGCAAATACCCCCCAATGAATAAATACACAAACAGACGGCCCCCAGTCCCCGGCGGCCCCGCTATTCCTGGCTATCCACAAGTCTCTCGTCAACAACGTTGTAAAGATTGGGAGTGTGTCGACGAGGGTCGCGTACCTGATACTCAGAATCACCAAACGGTATTCGCTGAAGGTCATTCAGGTTTACGCACCAACCTCGGCACATCCCGATGAGGAGGTGGAGGAAATGTATGAGGATATTTCCAGAGCCATACATTCCTCCAAAACCCACTACACGGTGTTGATGGGAGACTTCAACGCAAAACTAGGCACAAGAGAAAGCGGTGAGCTGAAGGTAGGGAAATTTGGAGTAGGGCAACGGAACCGAAGGGGCCAGCAGCTGGCCGACTTTATGGAGAAAGAGGGACTCTTTATGATGAACTCTTTCTTCCAGAAGCGGCCCCACAGGAAGTGGACCTGGTCGAGCCCCGACGGTTCGACAAAAAATGAGATTGACTTCATTATGACGACCAGACGCCAACTGTTCAGTGATGTCTCAGTGATCGCAAGGGTGAAAACTGGCAGCGATCACCGAATGGTTAGAGGCACACTGAACCTAAACGTTAAGTTGGAGAGGTCTCGTCTAATGAAGTCAACGCTCCGTCCCCCCTCGTGCTCTAATCCAGAATCCCGAAACCTTTCAGCTCGAGTTACGTAACCGCTTCCAGTGCCTAGAAGATTGCAATGCAGTGGACGATATGAACGACAAGCTCGTGGAAACTGTCCATGCGGTCGGAGCTAAGTTCTGCAAGACCCGCCGCAGAAGAACACAAAAACTCTCCGATCACACTCTTAATCTCATGGCTGTTAGACGGGAGATGAGGCTGCAATCGTCAACAGATTTGACAGCATACAGGCAACTGAACAGACAGATCTCCAAATGCATGCGGCGAGACTTACGCAACTTTAATACTTCTCGTATTAAAGAAGCGATCGAGCGGAACCAGGGCTCCAAAGTCTTTGCCAGAGATCTGTCTGCCAGAAAGAGCCAACTGTCAAAGCTGAAGACTGAGTGTGGCAACATCGTTTCCGGAACACCTGAGATTTTGAGTGAGATTGAGAGGTTCTATGGGCAGCTGTACATATCATCGTTGGAGCCACACGTAAGTGTGAGTAACGATCCAAGAGCAAGTCTTATCCGACACTATTCCGATGATATCCCGGACGTCAGTCTGAGCGAGATTAGAATGGCTCTTCACCACCTTAAAAACGGCAAGGCCCCGGGCGAGGATGGAATTACAGCGGAGCTTCTGAAAGCGGGTGGAAAACCGGTACTTGAAGTCCTTCGGAAGCTCTTCAATTCCGTCCTCCATGGTGGCACTACTCCGGAGGCGTGGAGCAGAAGCGCGGTGGTTTTGTTCTTTAAGAAAGGCGACAACGATCTCTTGAAGAACTACAGACCGATTTCCCTTCTGAGTCGCGTCTACATGCTATTTTCGAGAGTCATTACGAATCGTCTCGCACGCAGACTCGACGACTTCCAGCCTCCCGAACAAGCCGGTTTCCGAAAAGGCTTCAGTACCATAGACCACATACATACCCTGCGGCAGATTGTACAGAAGACCGAAGAGTACAATCTGCCACTTTGCCTGGCATATGTGGACTATGAGAAAGCCTTAGATTCCGTCGAAATTTGGGCGGTGCTACAGTCCCTTCAGCGGTGCCAAGTTGACTGTCGGTACATCGAAGTGCTGAAGTGTTTGTACAGTAGGGCTACGATGGCTATCCGAGTACAGAACCAGAGTTCGAAACCTATCCAACTGCAGAGAGGTGTAAGACAGGGTGATGTTATATCCTCGAAACTCTTCACCGCTGCGTTGGAAGACGTTTTCAAGCTACTGGACTGGAAAGGATACGGTATTAACATCAATGGCGAGTACATCACTCACCTTCGATTTGCCGACGATATAGTCATTATGGCAGAATCGCTGGAGGACTTAAGCATTATGCTCAATGACCTCAATAGTGCCTCCCAACGGATAGGTCTTAAGATGAACATGGACAAAACAAAGATCATGTTTAATGTCCATGTCACACCTATGCCGGTAGTTGTTGGGAGCACTATGCTCGAAGTTGTTGACGAGTACGTTTACCTGGGACAAATAGTCCGACTAGGTAAGTCCAACTTCGACCGAGAGGTCAATCGACGGATTCAACTCGGCTGGGCAGCGTTCGGGAAATTACGACATATCTTTTCGTCAGGTATACCTCAATCTCTAAAAACTAGATTGTACAACCAGTGCGTGTTGCCAGTGATGACTTACGGATCTGAGACGTGGTCCTTCACTGCTGGCCGTATGAGGACGCTTAAGGTCGCTCAGCGAGCTATGGAGAGGGCTATGCTTGGAGTTTCTCTGCGTGATAGACTCAGAAATGAGGATATCCGCAGTAAAACCAGAGTGATCGACATAGCAAAACGGATTAGTAAGCTGAAGTGGCAATGGGCCGGCCATATAGCTCGAAGAACCGATAACCGATGGGGAAGAAAGGTTCTCGAGTGGCAGCCTCGTACCGGTAGGCGTAGTGTAGGGCGACCCCCCACTAGATGGAGTGACGACCTGGTAAGACATGCAGGAAGTCGATGGATGCAGGTGGCTCAGGACCGTGCTTTGTGGCATTACTTGGGGGAGGCCTATGTTCAGCAGTGGACTTGTGAAGGGCTGTAATGATGATGATGAACCCTAAAATCATTAATGAACTCCAAATAGTTCAAAACCTTTTCTGTCGTCGAGCTGCGAACGCACCTTGATACGTCCGTAATGCTGACCTTCATCGGGACCTAGAGCTCCCCACAATCCAACAATTTCTCCAAAAACTCTCTGAGAACTTCTTCAAAGCCTCAGAGTCGCACTCAAATCATTTAATTCGTGAGGCAGCTACTTATGCAGCCCCACCCTCCTCTCGCTATCGAGTCCTCAGGCCGAGAAACTCTCTCTCGGACCCGCCTAATAAACTAACTAACGATCTGAACTGCCTCCTGGCCGCTCAGGCCAACTCTAATTAAATTAAATTATTATATTAACTAATATTAATTTGCCTTCGTAGGCACTCCCTCAGCGGCTCGTAGACGCCTGCGCCCTCTTTTCCCAAAAGAGGGTCGCTCACGATAAGGCACAATACAGCTTCATCAGCCGGTTGCCTGTCCCCAAAGGCGGTTTTTAGAGGGTATCACTTATGGTCCCCGGTAGGACAGTGAGTCCCTCATAACCACGATAGACCGGCTATCGTGGTATGCGTAATGCATTTTCCGCCTCCCTACGTATAGGGTAGCCCTTTAATTGCTTCGGGCGCAAAAAAAAAAAGAAACGGAGGGGTCTCGCATAGCAGTGAGGTGCAAACTTCGCTCAACTGGGTTGTGCGTAAGCTTATCAAGCTTAAAATAAATATATTAAAGGTATACGAAATATTTTTGTGATTGTATCGACAAACACTAAACAGAAAACTACAAATAAGATAAAACACTATTTTTTTATTATTTAGCTCATTTTATTTCAATAATCAATCATTATATAAAAATTATCATTTAATTAAAGTATAACCTGACTAAATATATATAACTGTTATTTTTAATTTTTTGAGTTTTATTTCATCATGACTGAAATTCATTCCTGTATTAATGAATTTTATTTTACTTACGACACTCAGATGCCAGGATACACTTTTCGTCATTTATACTCTTTTTTCTGTAGTTAAATTTACAAACACATCCGGAGGGACAAGGCGATGGCGGCATACAACTAAAATCAGGTGGAGAATCATCCACTGGGCAGTAGTTGTAAGAACATCTGTTGTTACAAGTTTGAAATGTCGCATTTATGCCACATGGATTGCCATCTAAAATTTAAGACATAAAATGGAACCTCAATATTTTGAAAGGGATAATATAATCACCAAAGATATAGAATTGAGATTATAAAATAGCTATCTAGTGTATGAGGCTTTGCTCACGTGAAATTATTTCAGGAAGGGTGTAAAAAAAACCTAGGGTCCTTTCTACAGAATAAGAACATAATTGACAGAATCAGGCGTTACTTTGCGGAAATCCATTATAATAAAGATATTAATAGTTACTTAGCAACCATCAGCTCAATTAAATAAAATGATATGTCTTACCTAGTCTGAAGAGCACCTCCCGCCCTCCCTTAGTTGCGTGCACTAATCCCGTCTCCACTAATCCCAGCACCACTACTCCCAATACCACTACTACCAACACCACTGTGACATAAGTTCTCGTTTCCGAATCAGCACTCGCATTTTACGGACCACTAGACCAATGAGACAGTGACAATATGCGACATATTAGTACGTTTAATTATGGTAATTTTATTAATAAAAAATAAGTTATTAACGAAAGAAGACAAAAAATTAAAATAACAGAGAGGCAGGAACAAGTTCCCACAGTTTTTTATAGAATAAGGATGTCAAAAAAAGCAAGCAGTCCACCTGATGGTAATGGTATTAGATGGTAGTGGATGTTGTGGACGAAGTACATCTACATTAACTTTTAATTAAGAATCAAAATACAGATGCATTGGTACTCTTAAGGATTAAGATAGAATGCCTCGTTTCGAGTAAAAAGGGTCTCCAGTTCTTAACACTCACCATAAGAAACACAAGATATTTTACGCAGGTATTCTCTGAGAGCATTGTCCTAACTCAATCGAGCCGACCCATTCCTACTTTACTGGCATGATCAATTACTGTAGTGAATCATTTACTGTAGTTCAGCCACTAATTCATATTTTAATTAATATATTTAATGTTCAAATATTACCTTATTCGAGTCTTTTATGTGTGTATAGATAATAAAAACAAAAACATCGAACCTGGACAATCATCTGGATTGATACATTTTCCATTCAATTTGGACAGTATCATTCCATCATTGCACGAACAACCAACATCTAAACATACTTTTTTGCAAGGCACTTGATTTGGAGACTGGCAGGTAGAAGGGCATGGGGGAGGATACTTAGTAATGTGCGCTTTATTGTCTCCATTGCACCCCTTTTGTTCTGAAATAAAAATGAATAAATAAATGAGCGGAAATATAGAAAGGTTAAAGAGAAAAGAAAAAATTATTTTAAATTTGAAGTATTTTTTTTTAAAAACAATATTATTTCAATTGAAATTTTATTATTTAAAAAAATAGTATCCGTCATTAAATAATATTCTACTTCAATACTGCCAGAGGCCCCGCAGCGATTGCCGCATTGATGAGAAATTGACGACGTATCTGGCTTGTTAGGCCTTCCATTGCCATGTAAATATTCAGTTGCATAAACAGGTATAGGATTTATGGAATGAAAATAAAATTTAGCTACTTACGCGTACAATCTTCAATTCTTACACACTTGCAAGGTGGACCTTTTCCCAACAGAATAAACCCTGGTTTGCATTGACATCCTTTTACTTTCTCGGACACATTTGAATAAGCAGGACAGTTTGGGGGATTTGGTTCGGCACAAGTACGTCTACATTTATATGGGATTTCGCATATCATTGATGGAACTATAAATTGAATAAAATTTCATTTTACATTAATAAACGTTGTTCTTTTTTTATAATAAGTAATGTAATTAAACTGTCGTGGTCGTTTCTCGTCTTTATTCTTTTTTATTAAATTTGAAATTTAGGCAATATATTGGAAATTTGACTTCTTCTTAAAATTTCTCAAAAATTTCAATCGCATTTTGTCGTATACAGGCTGCTACTTTACTTTTTATAGGTTTTTATCATAAAAATATTATTTAATAATTTCATATAGGTAAATAAAAATCGTTTTCATATTAATTAATAAAATACTGCTTATCAACATGAATCTCGTGTAGTAGAACATATTTGATAAACTAATTGAACAAAATTATTTACCACACTTATTACTCTTCGGACATTGTTCTTTCGGAACACATTTTCCCGTGGCATCCCTGCAGTAATCTTTAATGCAATTACAACCAGGTTGGCAAGGGCCCGGTTTACACGCTTCTTTCGTAGGATCGAAGTCGCAAGTGTCTGGAGGACACGTCTTTCTGCAGGTACTTCCAACTTCATTTTCTCCGCAGATGGGTATTTGAGGCGCTATAAAAATAAAGCATTTATTTTATTTTATTTGATAGAGTTGAAAATATTATAATAATAATGTCCTTCAGGTCGAATTTCGGCCACGGCCGCTTGCCTCAACGAAGACTAGCCATCGGCGCATGACATGATTATAGTGCCCAAGTGTATAAGCAAACACATGTGCACTCTCTTTTCCCTCACTCTCATAAACCGATGAGACGGTAAACCGACACGACCGGAGAGAGATCAGGCGGAGGACTAACGGCTTTACTTACTTTCTGAGGCACGGGGTGAAACACCGCCAAATTTCTGACTCCGGGCAGCTACTGAGAATTTGTTGACGGAAAAACTCACTAATTGATTTTTTTGTCCCAACCCGGGATTCGAACCCAGGACTTCATGATCATCAGTCGCACTAATACAACAACTAGAACAACGAGGCAGTCTGAAATTATAATAGCAATTCTACTATAAAATTAGATTTATTTACGAGGGTGGATTGAAAAGTACTCGGCCTAACCAAGAAAATAAACACATACTAAATCAGTTATATTTTTATTTTTCTACATAATCACCATCAAGTTCAATACACTTTTGCCACCTCCCCTTCCAAGCATTTAGACCGTTGAAAAAAAATGATTCTTCCTTAGAGTCAAAATATGCGTCTACAGCTGCTTTGACCTCGTCGTTTGTCGAAAATCTTTGACCTCCCAAGTGCTTTTTTAGGTTAGGGAAGTCTGATGGTGCCAGATCAGGTGAATACGGCGGATGCGGTAACAGTTCAAAGCCACAGTTGTGAATTTCAGCCATTGACTGTACTGACGTGTGAACACGGGCGTTATCTTGATGAAACAGGACTTTTCTTCTGAGCATTCCTCGACGTTTTTCTTTTATTTCCTCTCGTAAACGACGTAGTAAGGTGCAGTAGTAATCAGAATTTATAGTCTGACCCCTTTCAAGATAATCAATCATAATCACACCTTTCGAGTCCCAGAATACTGAAGCCATCACCTTATTTGCCGACAAAATCGACTTAGCCTTTTTGGGGGTGGTGAACCAGGTCTTCTCCACTGTTTTGATTGTTGTTTTGTTTCCGGTGTACAGTAATGAACCCATGTTTCGTCCATAGTAACAAAACGATTCAAAAAATCATCTGCATCGGCTTCAAATAACTCCAAACAGTCGCGTGAAATAGTCAATCGCGTCCTTTTTTGTTCAACTGAAAGCAGTCGCGGAACCCACCTCGCAGACACCTTGTGGAAACCCAACTCGTTGACAATGATGTTTTGAGTTCGTTCATAAGAGATGCCTATAATCTCGGCTATCTCTCTAATTTTTAATCTGCGGTTTCCCATTATTAAATCAAGTACTTTTTTAATATTTTCGCCTTTTGCTTTTTTTATATTCTTTTTTAATATTTTTTAATATTTACTGATGTATGAGTAGTTGACGTCGAAGGCCTTCCAGAGCGGGGTTCATCTTTCACACTCTCTCTACCACGCTTAAATTCTGCTATGCATTTTTTGACGGATGAATATAACAGAGCACAATCGCCTAATGTACTGACCATGTCATCATGGATGGCTTTTGATGATAGCCCCTTCTTATGGAGGTACTTAATGACGGCACGCTGCTCGATTTGCTCCATTCGCGGAAATTATGTCCGATTACTTTGTTAATAAATTTATAAAATCACAACTAATTATCGCACACGTTTCGAACTTCACACAATGAACTAGTCTGAACTGAACTAAATAATGTGGGTAGATTTGATTTTTAGAATTGAATGGATCTGTGTTAGGCCGAGTACTTTTCAATCCACCCTCGTAGATAGATTAATTTTAGACTTCACCACAACCTTACCAGCTCATATGCGTGAAATAAATGGAACTAATTTTTCAACTTTTATCGCGTTAACTTTAACTTATTTTAATAACTTGGAGATTTTGTGGGCACTTTAAGTTCAAGGACCATAGATCACGAGGGATGTTGAAATTAATTTTATTCAATGTGATGTAATCGCGTATCTTAAAAAATAATTGTATCGTTAGAAATATTCCTGATCAGCCCATAAACCGGGCCTGGAAATAGCACTCTTCCTTAGGACATAATATCCCTTGCAATTGCCTTGATCATAGGCCTCTCCATAGATTGTCTTAAAATCACCGCCATTTTGCCATAACTACCACGCTTAGCTGGCGGGTTGTATATTAAGTTGTTAACAGGTTGATACTGCTTAGCATCTCCTCTTACAGTTGTGTCTCATAGTTTTTTCAGAGTTACTGTCTCGTCACTCACTACGGTGAAATTCTGTGAGATTGTGTGCTTGTGCTGTAGATGTCATTTGATATGAAAACTGAAATGTCGTCAGTCATTTAACTATTTTTCTAGGTGCATTTTCAATAATAACAAATAATGGTAAATTGTAGTTACAATATATACATAGTATATACATATCTATACATATAAATAAAATTGAAGTGTCTGTCTGTAATATTGAAATAACTGGCTTCTACTCGTATTAAACTTAGGACGTAGGACGCATCCTGTCTATATGTTTCTCTGTCTGTCTGTCTTTTTTTAATTAGAGTAAGGTAACAAGCGAAGACACAGCGTATCTCATGGTAAGTGATGTTGGGTTCTATAGACATCTAGATTTATCCTTGTTTAAAAATGCAAAATGCAGAAGCGTTATCACCCCTGAGGACTAAGATGATATGCCTCGTATCCAGTAAGAAGGGTATCCGAATCTCTACAATCACCACACGAAACACAGCAGCATTGAGCTGATGTTTTACCCTGTTTTTCTATAAGATCGTGGTACTTTACCGACTGAGCTAACCCATTCATGCTACAATCATAATATAGCAGCTCTGTGTAAAGTTCCTAATTTATTAGATGCTATGAAGATCTAATGTGAAGGAAACATTGTGAGCATTACGTTTCTATATTTCGAGGGCACATGAAGACTGCCAACACGAATTGGAGAAGGCCTTTGGAAGAGGCCTATGTCTTAGCAGTAGACTAAGTGACTTTCATTTACCATTGAATGGGTACCGTAATACCTGCATATTAAAAAATCACATTAGTACTGGCGATTTACTGATATATGAGTTCATAAAGTGCCACAACCACAAATACAGCTTCAGCGTTGCTCCACCACGTATAAATACCTGTCTGTCTGTCTAGACTTATCTTCCGTATTGATGAACTGATTGTAACGAAACTTCACAAATAGAATTTTGCTTTGAAGAACGATAAATGGATAAAATTAATGGTCTTTAACTATCTTCAATCTAAATAACGCTACAATAATACATACCAGCCTACATTTATCCTACCTAGGCGAAAGCATTGCGGATCCATAGTCTTAAAATATATTTTTAACGTAAAATACATACGTGGTGGACATTCTTCGTTAAAAATACATGTTCCATTGGGACCTCGCAAATAATCTTTTATACAGTTACATCCGGGTTCACACGGTTCATCAACGGGACAAATAAAATCTGTATATGATATATTACAAAACTGTTGTGGGCATTTCATCCTACATGGCGAATATTCTTCATTGATTCCACATGTAATAGGTGATGGAGCTGCAAAATTTGAAACGAAAAATTAATATATTTTTGGATTTCTTGTTCTCAAAAAAAAAGGATTATCGTAAATTATTTTGTTTTAATCTAATCGTGCATCTTAAAAATGTGCTCTTTTTACTTATTGTGCAAAAAAGCTTAATTAAATAAATAAAAATTATCATTTTAAAACTAACTTGATACAACATTATGGTCACTGATATACGATCACTGCCAAATATAAAAAACATTCGGGTAATAGCCCGAATTTAGTCCCCTTTTGCTAATTTAGTTTAGGTCTTTAAGTGTAATATTAGTATTACAATATTTTAGAGTACTGTATTAATAAAAAGGTGTATTAAAAAAACTATAACGGATTATTGAATTCAAACCCGGGAATATATGATCGGCAGTCGTGCTAACAACCACTAGATTGGCTTTAACTCAACTTGCGGCCATAGCTCTAAAACTAGATACAAAATCTCGCATCTACTGTGTTTAGAAGCTTTACTTTACTCATTAGTAGTACGAGCAAACACTAATCATTTTATTATAGGTTTTTATTTAGTTCTTAGAAGACCTCAGAAGAGTCAAATATATTTTTATTACCATCGGATGGAGGGTGGTTTGGTATTGTAATAAACCTTTCTTCTAATATAATTTTAAGCAAAAATAACCCGTATAAGTTATCTTTCTGCATTAAAACAAGTTTGAAAAATAAGAATTTTTTTTAACGATTTATAAAAAAAGTGCAGTATTTTCCGAAATATGAAGTATGTTAAAAATCATAAATAATTAGTACTCCTATAAGGATATAATGCCCAATTTTGTGATTCTATGGTTATACTGATTTTTTTTATTTGCTCCATATATTTATTTCATTTTTTTTTCATTAAAAAATCATAAATCCGCAGTTTTAAAGCCAAGTTACCTCGTGTGACATTTTCACCACTGTTATAAACAGAAGCCATTTCAAACTTAAAAACGACTTCCATAATTTTACAATGTGTTGTTCACGAGTTGTGCCTATAAAGAATTAATATGAGATTACTGAAAACATGATATTAAGTATAACGTTACAAAAGACACCGACTCTACTGTATAATTGTTATTACCGATCAAACAAAGGCGTCATACTTTCAGTCAACTGTTCTGACCATGCTATATAAGCCGTTTCATTTAGAATAAAATGCTTTATAGAACACGCAATCACTTAGTTATGTAAGTCAATATTCTAAATGGAATAAGTAATTGTAATGTAATAGTTATTAAATGTCATCGAGACATATTTTGGAGCTTTTTTAAAAAATGCTTTGAATACCGCTCCCGAAACTAAACTACCCAAGCTGCGCTACGGTGGTAACAGGTAGATAAATAATCAATTCAAAATTAATCTCAGCCAGTAATTGCAGTTAATTGTGATCTTGGGAGTAAAATAATTATTTTATTGTCAATATAATATCAGAAGTGTCTTCGAAGTCTAAAAGAAAAATATCCAGTGAAAAAAGATTGTTTCACGATGAGTGGGAATCGGATTATTTTGTTGTGCCAAACAAAAACACTACAGCTACTTGTTTGGTATGACTACTTGTAAATTACAAAGGAATGCTTTGCTAGTGCTGCCAATATACTTTTTGATAAATTCAGTGCCAAAAAGCAAATACTACCTGATATAAAACAAACTTCAGCTCTCGGATTTAACCTGTATGAGGCGTATTGAAGACATTTCTAAACATATTTGGGATGATATATTAGTTAACCAAATAAAGTGCTATTTTTTTTTTGCTTGGCATATGATTCCAGCATTTTTTATATTTCAGAAACATCGCAATGCTCGGTGTTTGTTAGATATTGTACAGAAAACAATTTATACAGGAAAATCTTTTGAAATTCCTACCAATGAAACGTCAAACCCAAAGCACAGGTAAACTTGATATTAGTACCTGGATGACCGAGCTTTGCTCGGTTTTTGTTTTAAATTATATTTAGATACAAATTACATGAATAATATTTTTTGATCTTATTGACATAATAGAAAAAACTGAACTGGTTATTTGAATAAAAAATCATGAGTGCAATTAGTTTAATTAAAATTTTCGTATTTTTAAAAAATTATAAAAAAGGCTCGAAATAATAGATTTTCTCACAAAAGAAGGGAACTTAAAAAAAAGGAAAAAAATTCGGACCGAAGACAGAACGCGAACCAAGGCATATTACAATTTCACGACCGCTCGATATTCTCTAGAGCTATTACGATCATTAATACAGCGTCAAAATTTACCTTCTTATATTGTAGCAGTTTTTTATTGCCTGAAAACACGGACAAAAAGATATTTTCTAAAAATAAATCCTAGCTAGATCGATTTATTGCCCCCGAAACTCCTTGGACACTAAATTTTATGAAAATCGTTGGAGCCGTTTCCGAGATTCCGATTATATATATATAAACAAGAACTACTGGATATGCAATTTTTTAGAGCAGAATTAAATTCATACAAAAAATCGTGTGTCTGTGTACAGATGGTTGTCTTTCAATTACTGGATCCGAAAATGGATTTATGAAAATCTGGATTTACAACACGCACCGCCAAGAAAACTTGGCGGTGCGTGTTGTAAATCCAGAAATAGAATCTGTAATGAAGACAGTTATCAATATTGTCAATTATATACGAGCAAGATATTGAACCACGCAATTTAACCACAGAAGATTTAAAAGCCTGAACTGGGAAGTCCGTATAGAGACGTCCTTTTACATACTCGTACCTCGGTGCGATGGCTTAGTAGAGGAAAAGTTTTGGAAAGATTTTTTCTTTACATCGTGAAATAAATACCATTTTAAGAGCAAAATAATAAATTGTGCCCCGAATTACAAAATGATGAATGGTGGTGTATTTTTGCCTTTCTATGTGATATTACGGAAAAACTCAATAATCTCAATCGGAGTTTAAAAGGTGAAAGTAATATAGACCTTAATATGCCAAATAAAGTGTTTGCATTTGAGGAAAAGCTAAGCATTTACCATGAAAAAATACAGAACAAACAGCTATAAAATTTTCAAACAGTGATAAAAACTACAGAGGACGGTACCAACATTTCGGTGTAAAACTGCTTTATATTTTCAAATTATATAACTGCATTTTTAAACGAATTTCGAAAACTGTTCCAAGATCTAAGAAAAAAAGGCATTTAGAAACGACTGTTTCAGAATAAGCATCAATTTTAAATTGTAATTACTCAGAGTTATTTAATGAATTCATCGGTTCTAAAAACCACACCACTCTAGAAGTTCAAGTGCAAACAGGGAATATGTAGAATTTAGGAGCATTGTTTCCCAAATGTATAAAAGCATCCAACGATGTGCCCAAATACTACTAACATTCTTTGGGTCTACATATGTGTGCTATTCGTCTTTTTCAAAAATAAAATACTCTAAGAACGTCTACAGAAACAAACTTACGGATTCTCATCTGGATTATGTAATAAATATAGCATATAGCCACAAGGCAGATCTCGAATAAGTTTTAACAAAGTGTTCACAGAATCAAAAATCGCATTAAAACATATACATTTTTGGTTGTACTTTTTTTCATTAATAAAGTAAATAAATCGTTAACTTGGAATTATGTTTTAGTTAACACCTAAATAATTTTTGCTTGTGGCCCTCGACACTATTACTGAAATGTGTTTGTGGCCCCTATAAAAAAATATTGAGTATGGCTGTACTAGATCAATGAGCCAGTCAATAGTAAAATAAAAATAATATTTATCGCATTGTAATGAAACTTTACGAATAGAGTTTTGCTTTGGAAAACGATAAATGGATAAAATTAATGGTCTTTGTATAACTTAAATCTAAATAACGCTCCAATAATACATACCAGCCTAGATTTATCCTACCTAGGCGAAAGCGGTGCGGGTCTATAGTCTTAAAATATTTTTTTCAACGTAAATTACATACGTGGTGGACATTCTTCGTTGAAAATACACGTTCCATTGGGACCTCGCAAATAATCTTTTATACAGTTACATCCGGGTTCACACGGTTCATCAACGGGACAAACAAAATCTGTATATGATATATTACAAAACTGTGGTGGGTATTTCATCCTACATGGCGAGTATTCTTCATTGATTCCACATATAATAGGTGATGGAGCTGCAAAATTTGTAAAGAAATGTTAATATATTTTTTTTATTTGTTGTTCTCAAAATAAAAATAAATTTCATAAAATATTTTTTTAAATCTTATTGTGCATCTGAAATAATGTGCTCTTCTTACTTATTGTGCAATGCTCTTCTTACTTATTGTGCAAAAAGTTTAATTAAATAAATAAAATTTATCATTTTAAAACAAAATTTATTTAGCATTATCGTCATCCCTCATCAGCCATCACTAATATACGATCACTGCCAAATATAAAAAATATTCGGGTAATTGCCCGAATGAAGTCCCCTTCAACTAAATTAATTTAGTTTAGGTAATTAAGTGCAATATTAGTATAATAATATTTTAGAGTACTGTATTAATAAAAAAAATTGTATTTAAAAAAAACTGTAACTGATTTTTGACGTGTCTCGGAATCCGAATCCAGGATTATATGATCGGCAGTCGCACTAACAACTACTAGATCATTGAGCCATTCAATAATAAAATAAATTTAATATTTATTGCACTGTAATGAAACGTTACGAATAGGTTTTTGCTTTAAAAAACGATACATGGATAAAATTAATGGCCTTTAACTATCTTAAATCTAAATAACGCTACAATGATAGATACCAGCCCACATTCATCCTACCTAGGCGAAAGCGCTGCGGGTCTATAGTCTTAAAATATATTTTTAAACGTAAATTACATACGTGGTGGACATTCTTCGTTGAAAATACACGTTCCATTGGGACCTCTCAAATAATCTTTTATACAGTTACATCCGGGTTCACACGGTTCATCAACGGGACAAACAAAATCTGTATAAGATATGTTACAAAACTGTGGTGGGCATTTCATCCTACATGGCGAGTATTCTTCATTGATTCCACATATAATAGGTGATGGAGCTGCAAAATTTGTAACGAAAAATGTATATATTTTTTTATTTGTTGTTCTCAAAATAAAAAAATTATCATAAAATATTTTTTTAAATCTTATCGTGCATCTGAAATAATGTGCTTGAAAAGGAACCAACGGCTGTGTAAACATTCAACTAAGAAACAGAAGGGAGGAATCGAGGCTTCTCTCGATCCGGCCTCCTATAACGCCTACGTTGGGTTCGGGAACAACGTATGTGATCTCCGCAACGGAGTAACACACAAGGGCGATAACCTCTTCCTTTTCAGCAAATAGGTTCAGACGGGGATTACGGGTCTTCCGAAGTCGTCCCGGTCCCAACGCTTTAATTCTTCGATGTGGACTGTATAATTTTGAGAGATGAATTTCTTGGGAATAAAACAGCAATTATCTTCAAACCGTTCCGTGAGAGAGTAATTACTTTTCCCTATCACTTCCCTACACTTTTTCTTTCTTCTTATTGACTGCTGGTCTGATTCCCGAAGTTTCTCCGAATTGCAACGTTGATGTCTTCTTCATGTGCGTATGCACATGGAGGTTTCGGGCCTCGGGGTAAGCCCCCATTACCCGTGCTGTCCTCGCGGTCCACCACTATGGACCGGTCCTGGGAGCCTTCTATTGGCGTTGTAGGTGTCAAAATTCGGATTGTCCGTAATCGGTAAAATTTTTTCGTAGCCGGTTAAGACTACGAAAAAAGAAGGTTATCCAGTAAACTCAGGGTTGGCCTTTCAGCGGCATTGAGGGTTGTTACTCGACTCTCTAATCGATATAGAGAGGAGTTCTCTTGGATAGGATCGCCCGTACGGGGGGCGAGTGTGTAGCGGCGCAAAGTTGTTAAGGTGTATATGCGGCCCGTTGTCTGCGCGGTCGAACAGTCCGCGCGCCAACCGGGCCACAAATTCCTGTATGGTGTCTATCTTCAGTTTGGCCGCTATGACGTCATTCCGGACGTAGCGACCCGCACCGACGATGGTTCTTAACGCCATATTTTGCTGGGCCTGCAGTCGCCGCCTCAGAGGCTCGCTCAGAAGCGCGTACCAGGCCGGAGCAGCATAGGTGATAATGGCTCTGATGTAGGTTTTATATACTCGCACTTTGGTGTTAAGTGGTAGCTTGGATGCCAGGACCGGACGTAGCATCGCCCGCGCACATCGTGCTCTACGGACGACGAGGTCGACGTGCGCAGTCATGCGCAGCGCCCGGTCGATCCGGCACCCAAGGTAGGTCACGGCCTTCTCGTACGCGATCTGCTGGCCATTGAGGGTTAATGGAGGTGGTAGGTTCCTGAGGCGGCGAGTGAGCAGAGCGGTCGTCTTACCAACGTTGACGACCATCCTCCACTCATCTAGCCATGGTGGCAACAGGTCCAGGGGGCGTTGCATCCTGGCAGCGGCAATATGGGCTCTTCTGGAAGAGGTGAAATAAGCGCTATCGTCCGCATATAACGCCAATTCCACGTCGTCCTCCCATTCTTGCAGCCTGCCTGCCAGGGTAGGGATGTCGTTGGTATAAGCCGCGTACAGGACTGGAGACAAACAGCTGCCCTGAGGAACGCCGGCTCTGATGGTTCTGGTTGCGGACTCGGCGCCCTCTACGCAGACGTAGAACTTCCTGTCTGCCAGGAAAGACGCCACTAGCCGCAACATAGCAGGAGGGACACTGGTCTGTTCTTCCAATTTAAAAAGTAATCCAGAATGCCACACCCTGTCGAACGCCTTCTCGATATCGAGAAAGACGCCCAACGTGGTGCGGCCACGGTTGTAATCGGCCGCAAGCAGCTGCAGCACTCTGGTCAGCTGTGTTGCTGTAGAGTGACCCCTCCTGAATCCGTGCTGCTCCGCCCGAAGTTGGATGCACGGGCGGAGGCGTCTTAGCAACAATCTTTCAAGCAGTTTAGCTATGTGTGGTAGCAGCGTGATCGGCCTGTAGCTGGCAGCTCTACGCCTGTCCTTCCCGGGTTTCGGCAAGACGATAACTTTGCCTTTCTTCCAGTCCTCCGGGAAGTGGGATGTCCGCAGGATCCCATTGTAGAGTCGACCAAGCTCTACTAGGACTCTATGGGGCAGCTGTCGGAGTGCAGCGTTGGTAATCCCGTCGTGCCCCGGCGCCTTCCTCGGTTGCAGGCGGGTTGCTGTCCACCGCAGTTCAGCGGGGGAGATGAACCACTCTCCTGCAAGAGGCGGCGCGGGCGACGACAGGAATTCCTGTACGCGACTCTCCTTTCGGGCATGAAGCTCCAAGAACTCCGCACTTGCTGGGTTCGGCATAAATTGCTCCTCGAAGTGCTCGACTAGGATATCCGCTCTCCCCTTGGCATCGTAACGACGTTCGCCCGCGTTGTTGGTCAGCGGGCAAACGGGAGGTTTGGCTTTAGTTAACTGCCGGTTCAGTTTGTAGAGCGACGCATCGTGTTCTTCCGCCTTCCATATACGCCGCTCCCAGGCATCTCCTCTGTGTGCCTGGACTGCAACCGACAGTTCCTCCGACAAGGTGTTCAGTCTCGTTTTGATTCTCGGGCAGCGAGTACGCGCCCAGAGTCTCCTTAAGGCCCTTTTTCTCTTGATCTGCACGCAGATGTTATGCGGCAGATCATCCCTTCTGGAGGACATCGGGACGATCGTAGAGGCAGCGTTGAGGGCCTCCTGTATTGCCTTTGTCATGTTTGTGGCTGCGGCCTCTACGTCGTCCGCTGTGTTTAAGGGGTGGTGTGCTGGAGGTCTCTCCTGCAGGTGTTTGTGGTAGAGCCTCCAGTCGACACGTGTCTTCACTGTTCTGGGCGGCGTAGTCACCGCCTTTAGGCCAAGGGTAATTAAGATCGGGAGGTGCTGTGATTCCAGGTCGTACAGCACCTCTACCACTATCGGGTAGTTGATGTTCCTAGCGAGCACGATGTCCAGTACATCCGGACGACTTCGTGGATCCGTAGGAATATGTGTCGGTTCTTCAGGACCTAAAAAGATCCTAAGTTCCTCGCCCGCCGCCTCCATTTTTATGCCGATAGAGCGCATAGTCTGGTATTCCGGTAGGTCTAGTTCTTGATGGATGATGTCCCTTCTCACTAGGACCGCTGTCCCTCTGTAAGCGGCCCCTTGAGAAGTGACCTCGTCCCTCCTATACAGATGGTAATTGGGCAGCCTTATGCGTGTACTCGGATTTAACTTCGTCTCTCCCAGCAAGATGACATGTACGTCTTGTTGTTGGGCGACGGTGCGGAGTTCTTGTAACTTCTGCTGGATTCCACCAGGGTTCCAGTAGAGGAGGCGCAGGTTAGGCTCCTCCACAAAATGCCGAGCCAGTAGATTAGCCAGCGCCTTCATAACCGCTGTAATCGGATCTGTCCCGGCTCTAATATCAGCCAGGACTTGACTGCCGACCTCGATTGCTATGCCAACCAAACGTTGGATGGCGTCAGCAGTCTCGAAGCCGGCTAGAGGTGTTCTAGTTGCGGATGATGGCGCTGGTCTCTGGTGTTTATATGCTGTTCTTTGCTCATGGGTAGAGCGCGCTCTATGTGTAGAGCGGGCTCTATTTTCTGATAGAGCCCTTTCTGGCACTCTACCCATTCTGGCTTTCTTTCCTTCCATGGTAACCTGCGCCTGGGCTATCGTTACCGTTGGGGTTGGGGTAGAGGTTGCTGCCTGAGGAGGAGGCTGCACCTTCTTCTTCTTCTTCCTCCCCCGCTTACTCCTCTGCGAGGTTTGGCGCTCTATGGCGTCATTAGCGGGGGGCTGAAGAGTCGCCCCGGTGGTTGCCTTAGTTGTACTCGTAGTGGGCACCACCGTTCCTGTGGGTGCCGTGACGGGTGGAGGGGGGGCAGGTTGCCTTCCTTTTCCTCTAATGGTGGTCCACCCGTCTTCCTGAACCACGGCCCTGGGACGACTTTGGGGGACCCTCTTGGGCTCCTCTGGGAGTAGTCCCGGTAGAGTGATCCCCTGCTTCCTTGCAATCCTCCTCAGGACTGGGCAGCGGCGATCGTTAGCGGTGTGGTTCTTGGCGCAATTAGCGCATCGCGGTTCCTCATCTCTACCCCTTGGGCAGTTGCTAGCTATGTGGTCTCCGGCACAGCGAACACACTTCACTGGCCTGAAGCAATTTGTAGAGGCGTGGCCAAAGGCCTGGCAGCGGTGGCACTGTGAAGGGCCCGCTCTTCCTTGCCAGGCCTCTATGACGACTCCTCTCATGAAGAGGAGCTCGTCGACTTGGTAAAGTTCGTTAAGGCGCTCTAGGCTCAGGTGGTCCAGCTGCGCGAAGTAGAGGCACCCAGGTCTGCCTCTACGGGGGGGGGATCCCTTTTACGTACCTAATCGGGAACCCCTTTGCCCTGATAGCCCCCTCTATCGCTGTTGGGTCCGTGCCCACTGGTAGTCCCCGAATGCCCACTTTCGTGGGCTTGTCCTCCTCGGGGGTGTAGCAGTACCAGGACATAGCTGGTACTTTTTCCGTCATCTCTATAAGGTACTTTTGTACCGTCCGGAATTCTTCCGGACTCTGTGGGGTGAATCTTACTCCCTTGCCGAATGGACGAGCATTCGGTGGGTGGCCCAGTTTCCTGTTTAGTGCCTCGAAATGCTTCGTCCAATCCGGCAAGCACTCTGCCACTATTGGTGGGTACCTTTTTGCCGATTCTTCCGGCGGTTTGGGTGTTTCGGCAATCTTTGTCCTTGGTACTGCCGGGGCAGCTACCAGTTGGGCATAGCTGGTGGAAGGCCTCTGACCATCGTCCGATGGCCGGCCTGAAGGGTTGGTGGTAGGCGCGGATGGTGAATGTCCCGCTGATGTGCTAGGTGCCAGGGTTGCATACGTGGTTGCACTCCATCCGTATGACCCTTCTCCTCCCTGCTCCAGATCAGCAGCATCCATGCTGGTGTGTTCCGGTGTTCTGGGGGGGGGGGGTGGTTTTAGTCGGCGATGGCGATTTAGGAGGTGATCTTCTAATCGGCTCTTTCGGTTGGTGATCCGATTCTCCCTCGGATGAAGAATAATCCGAGGA